AAAAATAATTGTATGTAAACTTGTATTTGTAAATCGAATATAGAACTGCTATGAATAACATGACTTTCAGTCTTGAAAATACTTTATCCGAGCTTTCGCCAGCTTTCAGTTGGCATCATCAGGAATGTAATAGACATTCGAATAAACGATGGTATAAAAAGAAGCGAATAGATAAGAAGGATAGAACAGAAAAAGAAGAAAAAGAAAAATAACTCAAGGAGAACTTGTAGTTGGCATAGCTGCACGTTTCTTTCTTTAAGTTCATCAGTTCGTACATCAGTTCGCTACGAACTGATGAGTTTTTTTCCGGTCGCGAAACTACCCCAATGGGGCTAGGCGAACACCTGCAATATGTGATCTGTGTCATTTATTGCTTTTCCTAACTTCTCCTGTGTTAGAATACTCGCCTTTATCGTTCTGCGTTTCCAGTCTTGTTCCCAGGCTAATGTCTCAACCTTAGAGAAATCGAATTCATGATGATACTTCTGTACTTGTTCAACTAACTTGGAGTTTGCTGTCATCCGTCTAATGTTCGATTTATGTTCTTGCATTCGTTTATTTCGTTTTCGATCTGTTTGACCGATGTGAACATGTTCATAATTAGAACATGGGATCAAGTAAACTAATGTCTTCTCTTTCTTGGACTCATCCTTCCCTTTCATTATAGGCAAGAAAATGTTCTTAAGTGTCTGATGTTTTTTAAAAGAAAAATGAAAGTTAACTAACGGTAGAAATTTGCGAACGTTTTCTTTATCTTTGAAGCAAATACTACGGATTCTTGACCATAGTACGGTATGGTAAAGAAAATCTTTCTCTCCGATGGACTGTCTGTTGGTTGATTTACTCGTTTTACAATTACCTCACCTTCGCGAATCCCTCTTCGAATGATATGCTGTGGGTACCCATTCGAAATCAGCGTGTTTTTTAGATGTTCGATTTCGTTCTTGATCAGTTCTTCGTTAGAGCATATACGATTTCTAATCACAAAAGTTTTTATTAGCCCTAACTTGTACTGTCTATTCTGTGATGAGTCCCATAGCATGTATAATCCAGTGTGTGTAGGTTTCCTATACACTGTGGTAGTAAAACTATCATTCTCTAATTCAGTGTCAGTGTCGGTGGTTTCAGTGCCAGTATTTCAGTGTTTCACACTGACACAGCACATCCCTATTTATGCACAAAATATGATATTTTAAACGCTAACGAAAAACATTACCAATTCATTTTGTATAACCGCTTTTCAGTCGAAGAACTATATTGATCTGTCTCAGTGGAATCCTTCACTGTTGATATGCCGTAATAAGGATTTTTGTTCGAAAGCCGAATATCTCTCTTTATGAGAAATATTTCACTTTCAGAATGCCGTGATTTTGAACAGCAATCACTTCTCTAATCATCACATCATTAGTTGAAGTCCTACCTATGTGGAAAATTTTTGCTTTTCCAGGTGGTCGTCACGCGTGGGATCTGCTGTCCGCTTCCACGTGTGAAAATCCTGGATATCATACGTTACCATGCCTGAATAAGCCACTCCATGCGCTTTAATGCATGGAAGCACCCCGTCAATGCATGGCTTCACATGGGAAGCCATGCCAAGACACGCATGGATATGCTGATATGCTTACCGAACTCCAACGCGTTAACATTCATGGGAATCCACTTATTAGAATTCGAGGAGCATATCCATGGGTGTCTTGGCATGGGTGAGGAGCCATGAAGAGCCATGCATTGAAAAGCGTAGAAGTGATCTATGCACACTTGCATTTTCCCATGCGTTGGAACGGTTTAGAAAAAGGTCCTGATGAAATTTTGTAACTACAGACGAATTCACATCAGTTTCAATAAAACAACATCTAATTTTGTTAGAACTCCAGGATATTGATCTAGGACTCCGCGAGCTCGGTTAGCGACGTGAAACTGATGAATCTTTTTTATGTGGTAACTCGGAAAAGGCAGCATTAGCATTCAGCTTCATCCTGAAACTTAAACCTTGGCTCCCTTTTTCTGCCATTTGTTCTTCTTTGGCGCGAAGCGCACACGTGCAAAATCAGACCTCCTTCATCAAATACTTTCTAGAATCATTTATTATTCACTTAAAAGCAAAACAAACGATAAAATGGAAGTTCATTCTGCAAAGAAAATCTTCAGAAAAAGCTTAACCAACGACATTTATACAGGCGGTTTGCCCCACTGTTTGTGTTGTTGAACCTTTTATGCACGGACGACATTTTGTCTGTTCATAGAGTGCATTGTAAAAGCCAATCGGACATGGTATCGGTGCTACTTTTGAATTTGCACATTCGTGACCTAAAGGACATTTTGTGCAGTAAGTTGCCCCCTTTTTGACATTGTAATAACCTTTTCGACATTGACGACATTGAGTTTGACCGTAAAGATCAGCATATGTTCCAACGTCACATTGTTCTGGTAGTTGTGTTGAATTAGCACATGAACAGCCGAGACCACAGCGTAGACAGACTGTAGAACCTGATTTAAATTGATACCAACCGGGACGACATAAACGACATTGACTCTGTTCATAGAGATCTGTATAGCTTCCCGGTGGACAAGTTAATTGAGTTTGACCATCTGGACAGTAGGAGCCTATTTGACATTTACGACATTGGGTACCACTCAAGTAGAAGCCTGGTGTACAGGATGGGTTTGTAAAGGCGACAGTGATGCACAAAGGAAGAACAAAGAAGAGAAACATTTTTTACTTAAATCTTGTCAAAGTTTCTACATGTATTAGTATATATTTAATTCATCAAGAAGCAACTGGGTACTGTATTCTCTGGAATATTCTTTTTTTTGAGAACTGATTAATCATTTTTTTTTTTGTCATATAGCATATAACAAAACTGATAAAGCAAAAACAGCAAGTGACGAAATACGTCGTTAACTTTTCTCAGAAACGATAAGAAAAAAATAAAATCTTCTAGTAAATATTGAATTATGAAAAATGTTCTTTGTTCGAGAACAGATTAAGGATACTGGACTGCTCTTTCTCGTTCGGAAATTCAATTTTGAGCTAAAGTCAACAGTTTGTAGAGAACAAGACTTTCTATACAAAACGGGATCAGCTAAAACCTTCCACGACCTTCCTCTTAGAAAATTCTGAAGTTTTTGAAAAAGTAATATTTTTGAACAATCAGAAATTTACTTTTACAATTTTTTTTCTGCTGGAACACAACGAAACTTTTTTTTGACACGGGTGGTCGTATAATCCATAATCTCTTCTTTAAAATGTGATCTTCACTACAGCCCTGGTTTCTTCTTTCGCAGAGTTACAGGCATTCTATAAAAAGCAAAGATTTTTTTGGTGCATTCTCTTCTCTTGGGTATAACTCGAAGTTTCAATAGTCAAACTTTGGTATAAATTGCTGCTAACTGTGAATCACCTTCGATCGAGTTAAAACTTTACCACACATACTAATACTATTTCCAAATGCTTTTTTCGATCGTTTCTTTTACAAATCATACGCTGCTCAAGTTCGAAAAACCTGTTGGTTTTCGATATCACTTTTGAAGAGAACATCTTTTTGAAAAAAAACTTCATTGGTCTTTGTTGGACGAAATTTAGATATAGCCGTAATGTACGCTGGTGAAAACTCTGTTTGCCAAGAAAATTACTCAAAAGCTCTTTCGAAGTGAATAATTTCAAAAAGACCGAGAGATGTATGAGAAACCATCACTTGGAAAGAAATTCGAGCATGCTCGACTTTCGTGATCAGTAACCTGCAATGTCCAAAAAAGAACTTAGAGTACCCTTACTCATTATGCGCAGAAGGCATGTTTGTTGTCATACAGCATATAACAAAACTGATAAAAAGAAAAAAAATTTAAATCCGTCGTTAAATTTTCTTAAGAACGATAAGAGAAGAAATAAGATATTCTTGTAAGTATTGAATCATGAAAAGTAACGTTCAGCTCCTATTATTTTGTGTACCCCCAGCAGACAACAAAAACCATTAGTGTGAACTTAACTATAACGTTTAACTAACGAGGGAAGGTCCCCAAGTGCCACTCTCACTTTTCAATGGAACATATCCTAGTTTGTAGAGCTCGACGAGCTGATTACGATAGCATAAAGCATTTTTCCCCATGGCTCTCGAAGGCCCGGTTTTCTGAAAAACCAGTTTTTCAGAAACTCTAAAAATTAACCAAAACCTTTCTTAACAAGGTATAATTGTAGCGCGCACATTTCTGATTAAAATGAGACATCTCCCCGCTCTGCACGACCTTTCTTTGCAAAGTTATACAATTTACAAGAAAGCCCCAAATGTTCGCTGTCAGCTCACAGCTACAGAAATAAGAAGAAATTAATTTGGGGCGTTTCTTGTAAATTGTATGACTTTGCAAAGAAAGGTCGTGCAGAGCGGGGAGATGTCTCATTTTAATCAAAAATGTGCGCGCTACAATTATACCTTGTTAAGAAAGGTTTTGGTTATTTTTTAGAGTTTCTGAAAAACTGGTTTTTCAGAAAACCGGGTGTTCGAGAGCCATGGGGAAAAATGCTTTATGCCATCGTAATCAGCTCGTCGAGCTCTACAAACTAGGATATGTTCCATTGAAAAGTGAGAGTGGCACTTGGGGACCTTCCCTCGTAAGCCAAGGTAAGCTCTGTGACTCTTGCTCAATCAGGGCTGGGTAACTCCAACTCCGGAGTTGAGGATTTTTTTGGTGGATTTAAAGTTGACCTTGTCGCGGTTGGAGTTGAGACTTTAGTAGGTTGGAGTTGGGTTTTTGAATTTTTATTCTGAACTCCGTTTTGCATTTTTGGAAATATTCAATAGTTGTAAACGGATCTTCTAAACGATTGAGTGGCTGTATTCACGAGGGAATTCGGAAGTTCTCTGCGCTTTCCTGCCGGAAAAGCCTCAAAACGTCCAGAATCCTGCTAATAACCGAAACATCTTCCTTACAAAAGTGAAGCAACCGGAGTTGAGCGGGAGTTGAGATTTTTGTTTGAGAGTTGAAGTTGGAAGTCAGCGGAGTTGTCCAGCCCTGTGCTCAATTAACGCTAAGTTACCTTTTATTTGCACTATAGGAAAATGATCGCAATTTTGATTTTGGGATTAAGTCTAGTTACGTTCAGTTCCATCGATTCAACTGTAGGCAGCAGAAGTTATGATGAAGAAGTGTGTGATCCACATACAATGACAATAGATCAATATCCGGGACTCCTAACAAAATTAGATGTTGTTTTATTAAATCCACTGAAATTACGTGCACATTTCCGTTTGCCGAATAGTACCAAAGAAATTACAGCAGAAGGAATGTCTCGCGGCAATACTGTTCACTTCAGTCAGGAGAGTGCCGTCGTTGCATGTCGTTCACTTGGATGTAGTAAAGCGGCTGGAAGAACTGGTGTCCGTGATTGGGCAGTAACGCAAACATGTCGATTTACGTGTCCGGACGGTACCAGTGCATTACAGACATGTCGTAATATGCAACAAAATTTCAAATGCCCAACAGATGCAATGAGCCTAAAAGAATGTATTACAAATCCATTTTTTACAGGTATACCAGGAGATAATTTAAATGGCATAGCATTAGTCTGTTTAGAATGTGGTAAAGACTAATTCTACATCGGTGACTGACTTACAAGCTTTTGTTTTAGCGTTATATATACAATGATTTTCTTTTTTTCACCATAAAAATCCATTTTAATATTTCGGATCCTTCTTTTCGGGCGAATTTACAAACTATATTTGAATACTATTAGTACATAATGTGATTTCCAAAAAAACGAAAAGATCGAAAAAAGCATCTGGAAATAGTGTGAACAATCAGAAATTTTACTTTTACAATTTTTTTTCCGCTGGAACACAACGAAACTTTTTTTTGACACGGGTGGTCGTATAATCCATTTCTCTTCTTTAAAATGTGACCTTCACTACAGCCCTGGTTTCTTCTTTCGCAGAGTTACAGGTATTCTACAAAAAGCACAGACTTTTTTGGTGCATTCTCTTCTCTTGCGTATAACTCGAAGTCAATAGTCAAACTTTGGTATAAATTACTGCTAACCATGTAGTATATCGTGAAACATTCCGAAAGTGTCATCGGATAGTGTGATGTGAAAATTTCAGTGACGATATATGACGCATTAGAAAGAATGTGATACATCATGCGCAGAATTCGTAAGTGGAAACTTCCTATGAATAGCCTTGAAATATGATAATGGAAAAAACCAAAGGAGCACTACGAAAATACCTTAGACAAAAACGAAAGAATAGAAGGAAGTCATATATGCATATAACTAACACGTCATCACTTTGAGTCAAGGGAAATGTCTATACGTACATCCTTTCTTCTTATAGTACATTTCCAATATAGACCATAACACGGAGATAACACGTACGATATTCATCTCCTGCTATCATCCAGGAGTTTGTCAACTGCTGAATTTTCTTGATATCGTTTCGGTATTTTTCCATATCGTTCATTTTCCTTTTCAACATATTCTTGGTTTTTTCCAAATTCATGCCTGTATATAGTCACCACGTTTCAAATAAAGCGTTCTCTGTTATCAGTACTGGTTAACACCTTCTAAATCGCTTTAAATAGTCGCTTTGATGAATGCTTTGAGAAATAGCTTTGGGAACCACTCTAATAAATCCTTTTGGTGAACTCTTTGAATCAGTTCTACGTTAGTGTAGGATTAAAGAAAACTTTTTTATAAAATGTTGTTATCGTTTTTCTACGAGGACTGACGACTAACTGCATCCGCTATAGTGTCTCTAAAACATATAGGATATTCAAAATTCGAACTGAAATTTATTGGATGAAAACTTTAGATTTAAATTAGCTTCAAATAACATTTCATTTCCCCATATTTTTTTGTTATGCTCAAGC